GCAGTCACTGTCAGAGTCAGAAGAGCAAATTCCTTTACCCCTCACAATCTATAGTTATGTTTTTTTCAAAACAATGATCTGACGGTTTCCCTGACACCAGATTTCTGCTGCTGTTGTAATTGAATTAAAGTTCATAAACATGCGATGCTAGGTTATGAACTCAGATTGGCTGGATTACTGGTTGAAGGGTATAACCACATTGTCATTTCCTGCTAGTGACGATAACTTCAGGAATGCACAGAGACAGTAAGGTCATGATGCGCTGGATCCAGCTGTTTACATTAGACAAATATCGACTGCATTCCAGGATAATAAACTTGGCCATGCCTTGGTATTCAGAGTCACTAGCTGCAGCTCAGGGAGACAAGCAGTGTGGATGAAGTCTTTTGATTTTTCTTATCTCCTCTTCTCTCTTTCTGTCCCCATGTTAGCTCCCATTCACTGAAGAAAGGGAGACTAGGGACCAAAGTGAGCTGTTCACCTGCCCTCAGATCTCTACCAATGCTTCTCATCGCTCACAGATTTGGTAAATACATGAGGGCGGTTCCTAAAAAGGCAATCTGTCCCCTTTTGCTGGGGTGATGTGCTGAAGACTGTGACTCCTTGTGTGAGCCAACTTTTGATGCATGGTTTGCTGCCTACATCCACAGGTTTTAAGACAGACTGGTCAAGGAGAAGACAAGGTCAAGAACTGTCTTTAGGCTTGGCTTCTTTTACTGTTTATTACATCTTAAAACTAAATATTACAACACATGGTATTCAGAGATAACCTTATGCTTGAATTATTGAAAGGTTATTTCCATGAACTATGTCTCCCAATGCTTGTCAGTCTGCTTCATATGTTTCTCTTTATCCCTCTCTTAACTCCAACTACACTGTACTATTTACACTTAGTGAGAAGCAGCTCTGTGACATCATTGTAAGGTTGTTCTAGGGTCTCAAGGCCCTTACAAAAGCAGCAATCTGTGTAGGAATCTGACAGCTCGGTATATTGGTGTTTCTTTAGAATTGCTTGCAAAATGGCCATTCATATTATCTTCATCATCAAGGCAATGTAACATTCTCAGAGGAATTTAATATGGCAGCAAAGTAGTTGATACAGATTGTAAGTCTTCCTGAAATTTCCTTTTTCCCTTAGTGTTATCTAATGGTGGAGCCACCATATTGACGGACTAGCCAAGCCTAAAAGCAGAGCACCGCCCCCCCAACACATGGCTCAAGGAAGCTAACTGGCAGCAATTGTCAATCAGCATTAATTGGTACTTCCTCTATGGCAACAAATCCACCAATCAGAGCCCAGTTGTCAACCAATCAGTTCTCTTCCCTCATGCAGTATAGATTTTGGTTTGCTCCTTAAATTGATATTCTTTTAAATTGTCCTGACTGCAAATTGAGTCTAAGATATAAAGCTTGAGCAAAATATGGCTTTTTTCAGCAATACGCAAGTTCAATATCACCAAATGATTATGTTATTTAAATTATCCACACTGATAAATGCATGTGACACTACAACACTTGAGGCCTACCAGTGTCTGTCCCCCAGTTGAAATAATATTAGGCAAAATTTCTAAATGCAAAGGCACCCATACTGCCCACAATGTCCTGGATAGGGTATTTAAGCACAGATACTTGTTTAGATCAGCTAACATTGAAGAGCACAAGATCAAGCTGTTCACTGCTTTATACCAAGGATTGCTATGAAAACATAAGACCGTAAGAAATAGGAGCAGAATTAGACCATTCGGCCCATCGAATCTGCTCTGCCGTTTGATCATGGTTGATATGTTTCTCAACCTCATTCTCCTGCCTTGTCCCCATAACCTTTGACTCCCTTACTAATCAAGAACCTAACTATCTCTGTCTGAAATACACTCACTGACCTGGCCTCCACAGTCTTCTGCAGCAATGAGTTCCACAGACTGACCACCCTCTGGTTGAAGAAATTCCTCCTCACCTCAGTTCTAAAGGGTCATCCCTTCACTTCGGTCCTCATCTCTCCGAGTAGTGGAAACATCTTCTGTACGTCCACTCAATCCAGGCCTCTCAGTATTCTGTAAGTTTCAACCAGATCCTCCCTCATCCTTCTAAACTCTGAATATAGATCCAGAGTCCTCAACCATTCCTCATATGACAAGCTCTTCATCTCTGGGATCATCCCTATAAACCTCCTCTGGACTCCCTCAAATGCCAGCACATCCTTCCTTAGAGATGGGGCTCTAAACTGCTCACAATATTCCCAATGCGGTCTGGCCAAAGCCTTATACAGCGTCACAATACATCCCTGTTCTTGTATTCTAGCCCTCTTGAAATGAATGTTCACATTACATTTGCCTTCCTAACCATTAACTGAACCTGCCTGTTAACCTTAAGAGAATCTTGAACTGGGACTCCCAAGTCCCTTTGTGCTTCAGATTTCTGAAGCCTTTCCCTTTCCTACCAATGTACATTACCTCACACTTTCCTGTGTTGTATTCCATCTGCCACTGCTTTGCCCACTCTCCTAGCCTGTCCAAGTCCTTCTGCAATGTCCCTGCTTCCTCAACACCACCTGTCCCTTCACCTATCTGTGTCATCTGCAAAATTAGCAACAATGACTTCAGTTCCTTTCTCCACATCGTTAATGTATAACATGAATAGTTGTGGTCCCAACATGGACCTCTGTGGAACTCCACTAGTCACTGGCTGGCATCCTGAAAGACCCATTTATTCCCACCCTCTGCTTTCTGCCAGTCAGCCTATCCTCTGCCCATGCCAGAACCTTGCCCCCTAACACCATGGACTGTTATCTTATTTAGCAGCCTCCTGTGGAGCACCTTGTCAAAGGGCTTCTGGAAATCCAAATAGATCACATCCACTGGCTCTCCTTTGTCTAAACTGGTCATTAACGCCTCAAAAGAATTCAAACAGATTTGTCAGGCTAGTAATGGTGTACAGATGATGTCACTGGGTGAATAACTCAGACCCCCAGTTCTAGGCACATGGGTTCAAATCCCACCACAACAGCTTGCAGAATTTAAATTCTGTCAGTAAAATCTGGAATTTTGATTTCACTCCGTTCCTCTCTCTCACTTTTGATGGGTTACATTGCTGTTAGTGGGGTTTGCATGTAAATTAATCAATAGGAGAACAAGGGTGATTTACTGGTGGTGGTTAATAGATGAAAAAGAAATACCATGGGTGATTCAGTGATAGGAAATGAAACTGTTCAACTGTGTGTGAGAGCACTTCTGGATATAGGAAGATGAGCTTGAATTAAAAGCTGATCTCAGTAAACGTAACCATGAAACCACCATGAATTGCTATAAAAACCCATCTGATTCACTAATGTCTTTTAGGGAAGGAAATCTGCCATCTTCATCTGGTCTGGCCTACGCAGGGCTCCCGACCCACAACAATGTGGTTATGGGAAGGATGTTATTAAGCTGGAGAAGGCTCGGAAAAGATTTTCCAGGCTGTTGCCAGGAATGGAGGGTTTGAGTTATAAGGGAAAGGCTGGGACTTCTTTCACTGGAGCGTAGGAGGTTGAGGGGTGACCTTATAGAGGTTTATAAAATCATGAGAGGTATAGATAAGCTGAATGGCAGGTGTCTTTTCCCTAGGGTGGGGCATTTCAGAAGGCATATTTTTTAAGGTGAGAAGAGAAAGATTTAAAAAAGACATGAAGGACAACTTTTTTTTCACAGAGAGAGTGGTTCGTGTGTGGAACAAACTTCCAGAGAAAGTCATGGATGCAAGTACTATTACAACGTTTAAAAGAGATTTGGATAAGTACATGAATAAGAAATGTTTGGAGGGATATGGGCCAAGCGCGGGCAGGTGGGACTATTTTAGTTTGGGATTCTGGTTGGCATGGACTGGTTGGATCAAAGGGTCTGTTTCCGGGCTGTATGACTGTGCCCTGAAATGGCAGAGAGAGAGTGCTGCGTGTTTGGACTAAAGAGTTCTGTTTGGACTAAAGAGATCTGTTTGGACTATATTCACCAGAGTTCAGAAGAAGGAGGGGGATCCTGTAGAAACCTACAAAATTCTAACAGGACGAGAGAGCGTAAACACACGAAGGATGTTTCCAATGATTGGGGATTCCAGAACCAGGGGTCACAGCCTGAGGACATAGGGGTGTTTTAGGACTGAGGTGAGAACAAATGTCTTCATCCAGAGTGTGGGGAGCCTGTGGAAGTCTCTGCCACAGAAAGCAATCAAGGCTAAAATATTGAATGGTTTTCGAGAAGGATTTAGATTTAGTTCTTAAGACGAAAAGGATGAAAGGGTATGGGGAGAAAGTGGGACTGAGTTTGATGATCATATTGAATAAGGGAGCATTTCCTACTCCTGCTTCTAGTTTCTGTTTCTAGGTTAATGAAGAATGGGCAACAAATACTGGACCAGCCAGCCATGCCTTCAACCCAGGAAAGAAGAAATAAATGATATTTCTAGAGATCATCACTGTTTCCTTCTGATTTTAAAAAAAGATGAGAAGCTTTCAGAGGAATTTCAAAAAAAAGCACTTCCCTATTCTCCACGCCCCATCATGTTCTCTTCCTGAGTTTTTGTCTTGCCTACAGCATTGTCGGGGACATTGACTTTTAACCCCGCAGACTCCAGGCCAATTCTGGGGCTCCACTTACAGGGGAGGATTGCAATGGGGGAAAGGGTGTGGGAGTTTAACAGACTCTCAAACTGCAAAAGCCAGCCAAGCAACATGCAGAGAAAGGCAGGTCTATCAGAGTGGGAGGGAGGGTGGCAGCCCTGATTTCTGGAGGTCCTCGCCCAGTTAGGGAAGCTCTGCCCCAGGCAGGGTTTAGAATTACAAGCCCAGTTCCTGAAACTGACACTCATTAAGTTTCAGCAGCAACTTCAGGCTGAACTCTGGTCCGCCGGCCAGCTGTATGCTCCACTCCGTTTTGCCCGTCGTCATAGAGACCAGTTAGATTTACACACATTTTTTTTTGCCTTTTATAGTGTTTTTTTTTCCCCTTTGGGTATTAGTTGGGTGCACTGGAATGCAGCTTGAACTGAACCAGTGTCTCTCTCTCTCTCTCTCTCTCCAGTAGTCTTGCACAGACACACACACGCACACACACACAGGCGCTAGAAGTCGAGTTAAAAAGGGATGTCGGCTAAGTATTCGGTGATGGTGATTGAAAGAGGGCCGCCAACAGGAGCTGAAGGTGGGTCAGCATCTTACTGTGTTCCCAGGACGAGAGACCTGCAAAGCCTGGTACCTGCAGTCACAGTCAGGTTGGGGGTGGGGTGTACAGTTTGTGGGAGGCGAGCACACTTTTACTGTGTTTTTAGTGAGAGTTTATAGTCAATAAGGAATCCCACCCCAACAGCAGGAGGCTCAGGTAATAAAACACCGCTGTGACTTTGTTTTTTTTAGAAACAAAGGACAGTCAAACATGGCATGCTTGATTATGGCAATATCCTTAGGAATGTTTATTTAATCCCCCCCTAATGTTGGAGCCTTTACAGGGCTCCACAGAAATTCAATCAGACATGTAAAAGTTAGACTTAAGACCGACTGACTTGCAAAGAGAGGGCCTGTGGGGAGTTCTGAAGGGAACAGAGGGATTTGGGAATGAATTCTGACCAGAGGCAAGGTAGGGAACAGAGACATTAGGAAGCCCTAGTCATAAGATTGAAAGGTTTGAGGTTCCGCTATGAATTACAGAGATAGAAAGGGGCATGGGCTGCGCAGCGAATTAAAATATCCGAGTAGTAAATGTGGACGGTTTGTTGTCAGGTCAAAGCTAGGGCCTTGTTGTGGGTCAGGGTCAGGCTGAATTTTGCTGGGTGGAGATATTAAAATCCTCTCAGGTGAGTAAATGTGTGGCCTAACCCCTAATTGCAGGCCTGCTCCGATATCACAGGAGGTGGGCCTGTTCTGCTTGGCATTAGCAAATGGTTGCACCACCAGAAGGTGAGTAAATCTCATCTGTGGAGCCTGAAGGGTCGTTGCCATGGCCCTAATGCCCGTAGAGATGTAGGTGGCCTGAGGATGATTGAAGAGGAGTCCTGTCAACTTGTGCTATTCATTTTACTGAGGCCTGAAGCTCAAATCTCGGGCCTACTGGTAAGAGTAGGTCATATTGTACACAGGCCTGCAGTGCTAGAATGGCCAATCTGCCCAGTAACACCCACTGTTGATGACCTTTGACCTGGGAGCAGTGTAGAAAAGAACATTTGTAATTCCTATAAAAGATTATTTTTTGGAAAGGATTTGTATAGAAGTAACAGCTACAAAAAGTGATGATTTCTTCACTTGGAGGCGTCATTCAGTAAACTAACTGAATCATAATGAACCGTCAACCTCCTCATTTATTACTCCAATATTTCAATTCCCCACTCCTTCATCAACCCTCCCCAACTCTGATGAACAGTCATCTAGACTCAACATTAGCTTGCTCTCTCTCTATCTCCACAGAAGCTGCCTGACCCACTGTGATCTCCAGCACTTCTTTTGTTTTCAGTACAGATTCTAGCATCTGCAGTAATTTGCTCCTATATTCCGTAAGTTTAGTTATTTTGGTTTAGTTTAGTTTATTTTGGTTTGGAGAAAGGGTCACTCGACCTGAAACGTTAAACCCTGATTTCTCTCCGTAGATGCTGCCAGACCTGCTGAGCTTTTTCAGCAATTTCTGCTTTTGTTAGTTATTTTGGCTTATGGTTTCCCCGTGGGGACTGAACATAGGGGACACCTTCTCCTGTTTAACACTTCAATTGTTTACACTCACGAAGTAAAGCCCACCCCCACAGGCAAAATACAATCACAATGCATCAGCAGTTTTTAACAGGAATGATTCTGATGCGGTAAAATTGGTTTCAAAGATGCAAAAAAAAGATTGCAGGAGGGAAAATGGAAAGGATAGTCAGAAACGAGATCTAAACTTTTGATATAAATTTAAAGATTCTGACCTGGCAGTGTTCATGTGATTTATGTGGGCAGCGTGGTTTTCCTGAGGCTGATGTTTAATGAGTTTTGGATGCAGAGAGAGATTCCACAGAATCCCCCTCATTTTGAGTGCGGTGTAAGGACGTGGAAGTCACTAACACCAGAATTTCATCCAATTAGCGTGCAGCAGGAAATTGTAATTACACAGCCAATGTCTTTTGGTGCATTCTGACAGGAAATTCTAGAGTGTGCTGTTTTAGTACTGTAGTCCAGTTACTAAACCATTCAGATATATTAGTCTTTCTCACACATCCCTTTTCACGGGTACAATGGGACCTTGATCAGATGGGGCAATGGGCAGAGGAGTGGCAGATGAAGTTTAATTTAGATAAATATGAGGTGTTGCATTTTGGAAAGGCAAATCAGAGCCGGACTTATACACTTAACGGTAAGGTCCTGGGGAGTGTAGCTGAACAAAGAGACCTTGGAGTGCGGGTTCATAGTTCCTTGAAAGTAGAGTCCCAGGTAGTCAAGGTAGTGAAGAATGCATTTGGTACGCTTGCCTTTATTGGTCAGTGCATTGAGTGTAGGAGTTGGGAAGTCACGTTGCGGCTGTACAGGACATTGGTTAGGCCAGTATTGGAATACAGCGTGCAATTCTGGTCTCCCTGCTATAGGAAAGATGTTGTGAAACTTGAAAGGGTTCAGAAAAGATTTACAAGGATGTTGCCAGTGTTGGAGGGTTTGAGCTATAGGGAGAGGCTAAATAGGCTGGGGCTATTTTCCCTGGATTGTCAGAGGCTCAGGGGTAACATTATAGAGGCTTATAAAATCATGAGGGGCATGGATAGGGTAAATAGATAAAGTCTTTTTCCCAGAGTAGGGGAGTCCAAAACTAGGGGGCATACGTTTTAGGTGAGAGGGGAAAGATTTAAAAGGGACCTGAGGAGCAGCTTTTTCATGCAGAGGGTGGTGCGTGTATGGAATGAGCTGCCAGAGGAAGTGGTGGAGGCTAGTACAATTACATAATTTAAAAGGCATCTGGATGGGCACATAAATAGGAAGAGTTTAGAGGGATATAGGATAAATGCTGGCAAATGGGACTAGATGAATTTAGGATATCTGGCTGGCATGAACAAGTTAGACCAAAGAGTCTGTTTCCTTGCTGTGCATCTCTATGACAATTCCAATGGTCATTGTCAGGAGCCTAGTCTATCAACCTGATGGAAACTAGCTGCCAAGTGACCCATGCTATTTACTGTGTGTGTGTGGGGCCATTGAACAATGTGCAAGGAATGTATGACAGGGAGCAAACTGTCATGTTCTACTTTTTTAGAACATAGAACAGTACAGCATGGGACCCAGGCCCTTCGGCCCATTGTGCCTGTGCTGATCATGATGCTGTTCTGAATTAATTCCATCTGCCTGCCTATTCGTCTATTCCCTACCTTTTTAAAAAGTTGCTTTCGTATATGCTTCTACGACCTCCCCTGGCAGCATGTTCCAGGCACCTTCCACCCTCTGTGCAAAAAAAGAAACTTACCTCGCACATCTCCTTGAAACATTTCCCCTCCATACTTAAACCTATGTCCCCTACTATTTAATATTTCTCCTCTGGGGTAAAAAGACTCCCACTATCCATCCTAAGAATCTTCCACAATATTTTGCCAACAGCTGATGTAAAGCTCACCGGCCTGTAATTTCCTGGACTTTCCTGGTTGTCCTTCTTAAATAAAGAAACAGCATTGGTTATTCCCCAGTCTTGTGGGCCTTGCCTGTGGCTAAAGAGGATATAAAGATCTCTGTCAAGGCCTCAGCAATCTCCTCCCTTGCCCCCTTTAGTATCCTGGCATAGACCCCATCAGGCCCTGGGGATTTAACCACCTTAATCATTTTCAAGACCACCTCCTCCTCAATATCAATATGAGAACTCCAAGTGGATAGTTCAATTGGAAGAAAATAAGCCTGCACATATATTGCACCGTTCCAATGTGATTGATAGACACAAAAACAGAAGTTGCTGGAAAAGCTCAGCAGGTCTGACAGCATCCGTGAAGGAAAAATCAGAGTTAATGTGATCTTTCCTCAGAACCGTTCTGAGGAAGGGTCACTGGACCCGAAACTTTAACTCTGATTTTTCCTTCACGGATGCTGCCAGACCTGCTGATCTTTTCCAACAACTTCTGTTTTTGTTCCTGATTTACAGCATCCACAGTTCTTTCGGTGAGTTATAGACTTTGTTTGAAGCGCAGATGCTATTGTAATTTGCCTCAAGGTCCTGCAAATATTAATGTCTAAATGAACAGCTGATCTGTTTTAGTGATGCAGCCTGGAATCACTATGGCACTGGCCCACTGTACGCTCCAGTCTGATCTGCTCCCCACCCTATCCTTGTATCCCTGCAGGTGTGGGTCCCTCAAGTCCTCATCCACTGTCCTTAGGAAATCATTGAGCTTCTCTACTTCCACATCATTGAGCTTCTCTACTTCCACCTCCCTCATGGCCAGCCTGCTCCAGATCATTAACACTTCCTTATGGAAAAAAGTTCTTTCTCACATTCCCAGTGCATTTCCCAACCAAAGCCATACAGCTGTGTTTTCTAGCCTCTGTAACTTCACATTATTGGATCAGTTCTTGCTTGTGTACTGTCGAGCCTCACTGGTGTATCGTGCTGGAAATCAAGACCTGCTATTCTTGGATTTGTCAGAAAAGTTAAAGGATTTATGATGTTCCCTAATTTACTCGATCTTCAGACTCAGGTTGATAAACAGCGTGGACCGGGTTTTTATACTGAATAAGGATCACTATTTGTTAAAAGTAATTCAACTCAATCAAAACAATTACAAACAGTCACCAAATAACATGACTAATTAAAACTCTAATTTCCTTCAAAACTCTCCTTACACACATACACGCACTCGCTCTCACTCTCGCTCCCGCACTCACTCTCGTGCTCTCGCCCTCACCTTCGCCCTCACGCTCTTTTTCGCTCTCACACTCTCTCTCGTGCTCTCTCTCCTGTACTCGCACTCACGCTCTCTCCCTGCTCGCTCTCGCTCGCTCTCACACCCACCCACCCACCTATGGCTACAAATCCGGATGAATTACATCTTGCTGATCCAGAGGTTCCTTCCTGGCTTACCTTTTCAGAATGTTTCCACTAATTCTCAAACGTCGCAGGGTGGTGAGTTCATTTAAATGTCACAGTTTACAGCAATTGCTGAAGGAAAGATAAACTGGTTTTCTTCATGTTTAAAGTCAGTCTTGACTACAAGAGAAAGGAAGACAGTTGCTGGGCAGGGTGGATGGTGTTGGTGATCAAGTCCCTCTCTGCGACGTGTTCCTAGCTCCAAGCTGCTCAGTTACCTGACAACCAATCACACGGCTGTTGGCAGGCAAAGAGCTGTTGTCATTAACAACTGTTCACTAGTCCATTGACCAATCAACTTTTTGTTGCCAGCCAGCCAGCCAAATGCACTACCTTCTCAAAACCTGTGTGCCTCTGGCAAATCGCGCCTCGATCTCCTTTGCTTCAATGAGAACAAGACTAGCATCACCTTGTCATTAAATCTCTCCTAGTCCTTCTCTCCTGGTCTATATTTGTCTCCTAAACAGCATAAAAATAGATTAGCTGGTCATTAGCATGAGTCATATGGGACCTTAATACATGCAAATGACAACAAAGTCTACATTTGATTTGGTTTATTATTGTTACATGTGCCTAGGTACAGGGAAAAGTTTTGTTTTGCATGCCGTACAGATTATACCATACAAAGTGCATAAGGATAATGGAGCAGAGGGAGGATATAATGTTACAGGTAGAGAAGGTACACTGAGGCAAGACTTTAGAAGTAATTGGCTGCAAGGTGCTTTGGGATCCTATATAGTTCTAAAAGGCACTCCCTGATTTATAATCAGTGACTCCTATTTCTAGATCTTCAGACCAGATCCTCTTCATATCTGCCCTGTCAAATCCCAGCAGGATCTTATACGTTTCAACCAAATTATTTTCTATCATAGTTTCCATCAAGCAGTGACAATCAGTGATTTTGAAAGGAAATTGAAGGGCATTTACAGGAAGTAAACCTGGAGGGCGAAGGGGATACAGCAGGGAAATGGCTCTGACTGGATTGCTTGATCCAACAGATTCGATGGGTTGCGTTGGAAATAATTGAGTCTGTGACTATTAGCGCCACCTTTTACTGTTAACATAGTGATTTACTTGTGGATAAAAGACCAGGCTTAATCCAGTTCATCCTGAGGGTCACATATTGCAACAATAATGGAGCCATTTATTCATCGATTTGTCCTCAGCAGAGTCCGTGAGGAGTAACCCCAGGGATGGGAAGGTTTGGTAATCTTGTGTCTGCAGCCAAATGTTCTTCCACAGACCTTAGCACACAACTGTCCAGTCTCAAATCATTCTACTTCCAAAATATTCATTGGTGAGGTGGGGTCTGAGGTTTTCCCTGGGGAAGGAAAGATTGAGAGATTCACTAGAAGTGGTCGGAATTATGAGAGGCCTGGACAGAGTGGACAAGGAGAAACTGGTCCTATTGGGGGAAGGATTGAGAATGAGGGGAAAACCGGCTTAGACAAATTGACATTTTTCCAGTGAGTGCTTAGTGTCTGGGATGTACTGTCTGAGAGTGTGGGGGAGGCAGGTTCACTCGAGTGGTTACGTTCTGGAATGTAGTGTCTGAGAGTGTGGGAGAGGCGGGTTGTTGAGGCTTTCAACAGGGAATGGGATGATGATCTGGAAAGTAAGAATGTGCAGGATTCCAGGCAGAATGCAGGGAGAGCACTGAGTGAATTGCACCTTCAGAGGGCCAGTACAGACACCCATGGGCTGAATGGTTTCCTTCCATGCTGGAAGTAGTTTGTTATCATGTGAGATATCTCAAGTGATTTTTGATTTTTGAAAGCAACCTGTTTGGACGTTTAACTGAGCACACTTTGGGGCAGCTGAAAGTTGCCCTTGGGTCAACTTGGCTCAGAGGTATGGTCACTACCATTGCACTATAGAGTCTGTACAAGTTGATATTTAAGGCATTGTTAACTGGCCTGTTCAGAAATATTGTGACATACGTCTGGAGTACGCAGGACCTGAACCCAGGCCTCCTTGCCTGGAGGTGGGGACACTCCCACTGTGCCACAAGAGTCCTCAGTGTGTTGGTATTTGAATGAATTGTTGTTACCTGCTTCCACTTGGGGGTCTGTGTTACCTGCTCACAGAAATGACGCTTCAGTACACCAAAGCAACATTCTGGAACTGCTGAAAATGTTAAATAAAGAGAGAAAATGCTAGAAATATTCTGATGAAGGTTAACAACCTGAACACTTTTTTTTCTCTCTCTCTCTGTCTCTCTCTTTCCCTCTCTTTCCCTCTGTCTCTCTCCCTCTCTCTGTCTCTCTCTCTTTGTCTCTCTCTCACTGTCTCTCACAGTTGCTCTCTAACTATGACAAAATTTCTTTCATTTTCTGATTGGATTACTTTTTCTGCCAATTGGTTTTAAATTTGCCTTGGTTCTGTTACAGATAGTATACTCTGGCTGTGCTATTCTGTGCATGTAGTAAATATAGGAATATATCTGCAGACTAGATGGGCTGAATGGCCATGTTTTGCACTGAGCTGAGTCTCTCTGACTCGATGACAAGTTGGGGTTCATGCAGTCGAGCAGGGACTGCCTTCCTTATTGGCTGTCTGATGTTCCCTCTCTCCCTTCTTCGCAGGTTGGTTGCATACGTTACAAGCTGCCCTTATCAGAGACCCTGGGGTACATCGAGATGGCAGAGAGTGACATTGTGCCTGGCGGGCAGAGACTGAGGTTACGTGAGCGAAGGGGTACCGCAGGCCCCAGTGCAGCTCGCAAGGGGACCGGGGGTTTGGGTTCAGCCGGGCAGTGGGAGGACGATGTCTGCTCGGCCTCCTCCAAAAACCAGCCTGGTCCCGGTGCCCCAGCCCTCCCAACCAATCAGCAACTCCAGACAGGCGCGAGATCATTGGGCAGAGCTGCCATCCCACAGGTGGAGGGCCGAGATTGCCCAGATCCGGGAGTAGGCCGGGAACGCGGACAGGCCCAGAAGGACAGAGGGCCAAGATGCACCTACTTAACAGATAGTGTCCTGGGCTGCCAGGAGCCTCCGGTCGACAGAGAGGGGAAGGCTCCCAAACAGGGCACGGATCCGGGATTAACGGGTAGGGAATGGCCAGGAACGATCAGCTCGGGAGATGCGCCTTGGCCAACCAGGGAGAAGCCTCCTCTGAAACTTACTGCCAAGAGCTGGAGGCCTCCAAAAGGGTTCTGGAAAGTTCTCGGAAGGGAAACCGCTCCTCCGGGCAAAAGGGCGGGTACCTCTCGTGACGTGATTGCCCGGGAGGAGACCGGGAATGCCAACATCTTGGAGCATCTGAGCAGCCGCAGCGGCGTCGGCTCGAGGGCTGCGCTGGTGGGGTTGCCGGGGGCCGACGTTTTGGGGAGGTCTGCCGCCGGGCCGGAGAAATGGAGCGCGCGCAGGCTGGGCCAGCTGGAGGCACTGTGGAGGACGGACAGCTGGGAGAGCGTGGGCAGTAACCCTGGCCTAGTGTCGCTGAGTGAACGGGTGGAGATGAACCGCTTCCTCCTGAAGAGAATGCCGAAGGCAGCTGACTGGCTCGAAGGTCAGTCCCAGGAGGACCCCACAGCCCATGTCTGCCAACGTGAACCCCTCCTGATGGCAGACCACACCTTCCCTGGAAACGAACTCATCAAACAAGGTAAGGTCTTCCCTACAAGTGTCTCGAATGTTAATCCACTGTCAAAAGTTATTAACGGAGGCCTTTTGCCCAGCACTATTTCTCTCTATTACTGACACATGGTCGTCTGTTTGAGTGGGAGCTGTACGGGATTCTCTCCCGGACACCCATTCCCATCAGGGTTTGGACTTTGGCCATGAGCCTTGGGACCAGATCATCCCCGGTGCCAATTACAATCGTTTAGGTTCGATACAAACATTTAATTCATTCATGGGATGTGGGGATCTCTGGCTAGGCCAGCACTTATTGCCCATCCCTAATTGCTCAGAAAGTGTTTAAGAGCCCAAAGGGCTCTTAAAGTTAAGGGTCAACCACATCGCTGTGGGCCTGGAGTCACATGAAGGCCAGCCCAGGTAAGGATGGCAGATTTCCTTCCCTGAAGGACATTAATGGACCTGGACTATACATCCTCACACCCCACTTCCTGTAAAGACTCCATCCCATTCACTCAGTTCCTCTGTCTCGGTCGCATATGTTCAGATGAGGCCAACTTCAACAAGGGAGCCTCCAAAATGTTCACCTTCTTCTTCAACCGAGGATTCCCCAGCACCGTTGTCGACAGGGCCCTCAACCAGGTCCGACCAGTCTCCCGCACTTCCGCCCCCACCCCTTCCCTTTCCTCCCGCAACAGCAATAGGGTTCCCCTTGTCCTCACCTACCATCCCACCAGCATCCACATCCAGAAGATCATCAGACACCATTTCACCACCTCCAGTGAGATGCCACCACCAGACACATATTCCCCTCCCCTCCTTTGTCCACCTTCCGTAGGGACCATTCTCTCCGGGACACCTTGGTCCACACTTCCTTCATCCCCAACATGCCCCCCACAGCCCTATGGCATCTTGCTCTGTAACATGCGAAGGTGCAACACCTGCCCATTTACCTCCTCCTTCCCCAGTATCCAAGGGCCCAAACGTACCTTCCAGGTGAAGCAACACTTCACCTGCACTTCCCAGAATCTGGTCCACTGCCTTCGCTGCTCACAATGTGGTCTCCTCTAAATTGGGGAAACGAAGTGTAGGCTGGGTGACTGCTTCGCAGAACATCAACGTTCTGCTCGCAAAAAAGACCCTGAACTACCTGTTGCCTGCCACTTCAATGCACCACCCTGTTCACTGGCCAACATCTCTGTCTCTGGCTTGCTGTAGTGTTCCGGTGAAGCCCAACGCAAGCTGGAGGAACAACATCTCATTTTCTGCTTCGGGACCCTGCAGCGCTGCGGACTCAATATTGAGTTCAATAATTTTAGGGCCTAAACTCTCCCATGTCCCAGTCCCCCACCCCACACACCAGGCCTTGTTACCACATAGCCTGCCATTATACGCCCTCAGTTGTTAGTCACTAACAGTCCCCATTAACAACTACTCACCCTCCCAGCCCAATCGTTAGCAACTCCTTTGTCTGTCCAACTGTCTTTCTCTCTCTTTGGGCTCTATCCTATCATTTACTCCCCACCCTACCCACCTCCCCATTTTCTGCATATAAACTGATGTTTTCCCAGCCACCATCAGTTCTGAGGAAGGGTCACCGGACCCGAAACGTTAACTCTGTTTTTTCCTTTGCGGATGCTGCCAGACCTGCTGAGCTTTTCCAGCAACTTTGATTTTGTTCCTGATTTACAGCATCTGCAGTTCTTTCAATTTTTGTTAATGGACCAGTGTTCACTAATTAGTGTTGCTTGAATGCAGGGTGAAATCCTAGACTTGCGTGTTGTGTGCTCAAAGAATCAAGCTTTGCTGCAGAATCTCTGGGAGTCACTCACCTCCCCAGAGGTTTAAAGGAAATATTTGAATTTATGTATCACCTTTCACACCCTCAGGATATCCCAAAGCGCTCCACAGGCAATAGAGTACTTTGGAATTGTTGTAAAGTAGGAGGTGCTGCAGACAGTTTGAAAGCAGCAGGTTCCCACCGATAACGCTGACCTTGTGACCAACCTGACATTTGTAAGTTTTGACCAGGCTGCTGGCACAAATTGCCCTGCTGTCCTTCACAAATAGCCATGTTTTTGATTAACGATAGTGTGAGAGGGCAGACCAGGCCTCAGTTTAACAGCTCAGCTGAAAGGCGGCGCCTTGGACAGTGTAGCACTCCCCACTTAGTACTTACATAGGGTCATACAGCATGGAAACAGACCCTTCGGCCCAACCAGTCCATGCCGACCATAATCCCAAACTAAACCAGTCCCACCTGCCTGCGCTTGGCTCATATCCTTCCAAACATTTCTTATTCATGAACTTATCCGAATGTCTTTTAAATTTTGCAATTATACCCGCATCCACCACTTCCTCTGGAAGCTCGTTCCACACACTAACCACTCTCTGTATATAAAAATTGTCCCTCATATCCTTTTTAAGTCTTTCTCCTCTCACCTTAAAAATATGCCGCCAGTGTTGAAACCACCCCACCCGCCACCCCAACCCAGGGAAGAGGCAACTACCTTTCATCTTATCTATACTCTTCATGATTTTATAAACCTCTATCACCCCTCAACCTCCCACGCTCCAGTGAAAAAAGTCCCAGTCTATCCAGCCTCTCCTTATAACTCAAACTCTCCAGTCTTGGCAACATCCTGGTAAATCTCTTCCAAACCCCTTCCAGCGTAATAATACCCTTCTTGTAACAGGGAGACCAGAACTGCACACAGTACTCTAGAAGAGGCCTCACCAACATCCTCAACCTGACGTCCCAACTCCTATACTCAATGGTCTGAGCAATGAAGGGTCAGCCAGGATCTGTCAGGACCTGAGCCTATAGTCTATCTGTCCAGAGGCAGGAATGACTGAATCACTGATGTCACACTCTGGGTTGTTCACCATTGCACAACTCTCCCATTTGCAGCCAAGGCCCACTCAAGCAAGCATTGTACCCTTTTGTGATTCCCATTTGTGGGGAAATTGGTGACTTCTCTTTGTAGATGGAAGTGTGAACAGCACCTTGCTTTCTCTGTAGGATAAATAACAAGGTGTAATGTAGTAAGGTAAAGTCAGAGACCTGGGAAGGTATAAAGGGTGAGAGTGAATATGTAAATACTTAGTCTCAGCAGTTTGGAGGATGGGAAATGTAACCCCACCATTTAAAAAGGAGGGATGGAAGAAACAGGGAGATTACAGACCAGCCATCCTAACATCAGCAGTAAGGAAAATGCTGGAGTCTATTATAAAGGATGTGATCCATGGGCCACACACAAAGTCAACTCGGATTTATGAAAGGGAAACCATATTTGACAAACCTATTAGAGTTTTTTGTAAGGATATAACTAGAGGGAGAACCAGTGGATATGGTGTATTTAGAGTTTCAGAAAGTTTTCAATAAAATAGGAAGTTAGCGTGTAAAACCAAAGCACAAGGGCCTGACGGTAATGTAGCGGCATGGATTAGAAATGATTAGCAGACAGGAAAAAGTAGGAATAAATGGGACTTTTCCAGAATGGAAAATGGAAGTAATATAGCATGGGTCAGTGTCAAGTTGTCCACTCAGGTGTGAAATATCAGAGGTTTATTTAAATGATGATAGATTGGGAAATGTTCATATGCAAAAGGCCTGGGTGACCTTGAACACCTGTCACTTACAGCAAACATGCAAGTGCAGAAAGCTGTTAGGAAGGCACCCAGAATGTTGGTTTTCATTGCAAAAGAATCTGATTATAGGAGCAAGGAGGTCTTAATACAACTGTGCAAGGCCTTGATGAGACTACACCTGGCGTATTGCATGCAGTTATGGTCTCTTTACCCAAGACACGATGAATTTTCCAAAGAGGGAATGGTGTAAAGTTTCACCAGACTGATTCCTGGTCTGACAAACCTGTCAACTGGGTCTATATTCATTGGAGTTTAGAAGCATCAAAGGAGATCTCATTGAACTGAATGCTTTTCTGACAGGGCTGGGGCAGACTGGACACAGGGATGAGATGTCCCTTGGCCAAGGGGAATCTAGAACAAAAGATTACAGTCTTGGGGTGCACGATTTTAAACTGAGATTGTTGCAGCTGTACAAGACGTTGGTGGGGCCACATATGGTGAACTAAATGCAGTTCTGGTTGCCCTACTGTAGAAAGAATATCATTAAACTAGAAAGAGTGCAGAAAAGATTTACTAGGATGCTACCTGGGCCGGAAGCTTTGAGTTAAAAGGAGAGGCTGGGAGTCTGGAGCATAGGGGTTTCTACCTTATAGAGGTCTATAAAATCATGAGAGGCATAAATAAGGTAGATAGCCAGTAGCTTTTTCCCAGGGTAGGGGAGTCTAAAATTAAGGGGCACAGGTTTAAAATGAGAGGGGAGAGATACAAAGGAGTCCAGGGGGGCAATTTTTTTCACACAGAGGGTGGTGAGTGTCTGGAATGAGCTGCCAGATTTAGTGGTGGAGGTGAGTACAATTTTATCATTTAGGAAACATTTAGACAGGTACATGGATGGGAAAGGTATGGAGGGATATGGACTAAACACAGGCAAATGGGACTAGTTTAATTGTGAAAACTGGATGGCATGGGCGAGTTGGACTGCAGGGCCTGTTTCCATGCTGTAGACCTCTATGACTCTGAGGAGAATTTTCTTCAGTTTGAGGTTGGTGAACATATGGAATTCTGCACCACAGAAGACCATGGAAGTGAAGGCACTGAATATATTTAGGAAAGGAACAGCTAGATTTCTAGAAGCTAAAAGTGTCAGGGAGTATGTAGGGGAGAGCAGGAGTATGACATTGACATAGGGGATCAGCCATGAACATATTGAATGACAGAGTTAGCTCTATGGGCTGAGTGGCCTACTCTAGCTCCTGTTTTCTACGTTTTTACATGTGATGGTCTGATTAGGAAGTGAGGTTCCTCAGCAGGTGGCACTCTGTAGCAGCCTCATGACAGAGACAAAGTCATGTGCTGTACCTAGTTAGTGTTTGTCATGTTTACATCAAAGGTAAGGTTGGCCAACATCAAAGGCTCCTGCAGTCTTTTCCAAACCCCTCTCCTGGAGCCAAGCAGAGTCCAATAGCAAAGTCTTCTGGGTGAGACATTTAGCTGAAACCTTGCAAATTCTTTCCCCTCAATATTGAATCTTCTCCCCCCAGCCTTCCTGGCACTGCTGTGGGATCGTGACATCATGCTGCGTAAAAAGAAAGTCCACATTCCCTCTGGTCCTTTCTGGCAATAACCTGACCCTGTTAAATAGTCTATCAAAGCACTGCCATTGTATCTCCTCTTAGCCTTCTCTGCCATGACGAGCACAATCCCAGTTTCTCCAGTCACTCCACACTCATGGAAGTTCTGCCCCTGAACACACCCCCACCCCCCACCACGCATGCGCACGCACACACACACATTCCTTGTCAAGGCTTTGAGAGCTTTCCCAGATGCAGTGCTCAGAACCGGTTGTGGTACTGCAAATGGTGCGAAACCAGTGTGTGACATCTCGTACATGCATAACAGAATTTTTTTTATTCATCTTTATTCATTCATGGGATGAGGGCATCGCTGGCTAGGCAGCATTTATTGCCCATCCCTAATTGCCCAGAGGGCAGTTAAGAGTCAACCACATTACTGTGGGTCTGGAGTCACATGTAGGCCAGACTAGGTAAGGATGGCATTTTCCTTCCATAAAGGACAGTAGAGAACCAGATGGGTTTTTCCAACAATTGGCAATGGATTCACAGTCATCATTTGACTCTTAATTACAGATATTTATTGAATTCAAATTCCACCATCTGCCAAGGCGGGATTTGAACCCAGGTCCCTAGAACATATCTGGGTGTCTGGGCTAACAGTCCAGCGATAATACCACTAGGCCATCACCTCCCCCATCTGGGCATTTAGCTCGTCACTGTTTGTGGCAGCTTTCTGTGGACAATTTGACTGCTGCAACTCAGTTATGACACAGGGGAGGTGGTGGTATACTGCTAATGTCACTGGGCTAGACTAATAGACATCAGCCGCTCAGAATTCTGGAGACCCAGGTTCAAATCACACCTTGGCAGCAGTTTCTCTATCCTCCACCTTCCCTCTCCCTCTAACCTTCTCCTCCTATTCTTCCCTCAGCTTCCTCCTTCCCTCCCCTATCACCACCTCCTTCTCTTTCCCTCTCCCGTCACTTGACCCTCCTATCCCGTCCCTTCCCATCTGCCTCTGCTCCAGTCCCCACTTCTCCTCCGCCCCCTCCCCACTCCTGTTCTGCACGGTTATGTCCATTTCTAAGTTTCAAACCATTTCGCGACATTGAAAATAAGGAGAATGATTAAAACGTGTCATTAAACCTGATAAATGATGTTTGAAGACATGATGGATGGTGAACTGCTCAACGGTTTTCCATGTGTTGCCATTGAATGTAAGAGATAAACTGCACGTTTGCTAGTAATAATCACTTTTATTACTTTAATTGCCGCTACTAGTTTTGAATAACTGCAAGGCTTGAGCGGATATTAGTTACTCTATTGGTGATTAATGTATTTTTAATTTATTAATGCATTAACCTGGGACACATGGCCCAGGTTTCAGTGATAAAGGCGCTGCCATTTCAGACAATGATGACAATGCTCAGACAGTAGATCTGTCTTTCGATAACAAAATGCATTGGAGAAGAGGATCTTTTTAATCCATTTTCAGATGTACTAATATGCTTGAAGAGTCAGAAATGAGGTTTCTAAACTAACTGTCAACTTTTAATAAATCAAAAACTGCAGATGCTGAAGATCTGAACGAAAGTCAGTTCTGAAGAAGGGTCGAAATGTTAACTCAGCTTCTCTTTCCACAGATGTTTGCCGGATCTGCTGAGTTTCTCCAGCAATTTCTTTTGCTGTGTCAACTTATAATGTGTTTATTATGGGGACGGGCTATAGCCGTGTAATTTTGATACCAAATCTTTTGAAGAATTTATCCCACAGTTTAAGTGATGATGGGACGGTGCATTTATCTTTAGATGTGAAATTTAACTGAAAAGTTTTTAAAGCATTACCTCTCTGAGGTTTGGGTGTTGCTGGCAATTTGTTCCCATCCCTAGTTGTCCTTCAACTGAGAGACTTCCTCAGCCATTCGGAGGGTATTTAAGGGTCAGCTGGATTGCTGTGGGTCTAGATTCACATGTAGACCAGGCTAGGCTTTGTATAACAATGGAAAACATTGTTTAATGGTCCCCATTACTGACCAGCTTCAATAATTGAATTGGATTTCCACCAGGTGGGGTTTGAACCTGCAATGTGAGCTTGGGTTGACTGGTCTAGAGATATTACCACTGTCGCCATCTGATGTAAAGGGGAGGACTGACTTGGAGGTGCAATCTGCCCTGGCTAGGGACGGAGAGTGGGAGAGCTTTAGGAACGGTATTCCAGAGTTCTGGGCCAAGGTAGGTGCACAGACAGGACAGGACCATGAAATGTTCTGCCTAACAGATTCAGCCATGGTGCAAAGGCCTGTGGCCCTGCATTACCCATTTCAGTGTGTATTTGAACCCTCCACTCACTCACATACCTACTTCCATTGAGCAAACACTTCCAAACCCTCGATATCCCTCATACAGTAGCTCAGTGGTTAGCATTGCTGCCTCACAGCGCCAGGGACCCGGGTTCGATTCCACCCTCGGGCGACTGTCTGTGTTGAGTTTGCACGTTCTCCCCGTGTCTGCGCGGGTTTCCTCCAGGCGCTCCGGTTTCCTCCCACAGTCCAAAGATGTGCAGGTTAGGGTGGATTGACCATGCTAAATTGCCCATGGTGTTCAGGGATGTGTAGGTTAAGAGGATTGGCCATGGGAAATGCAGGGATAGGGTGTGGGGGTGGGGTGGGTCTGGATGGGATGCTGTTCAGAGGGGCGGTGCGGACTCGATGGGCTGAGTGGCCAGCCTCCACATTGTGGGGAATCTACGATAACGAACTGCACAACGTTTCCTCGTTAACCCATTGCCAGTGCCACCAGCCCACTGCCTTCCGGTGTTTTCTCACTGCCCGATCGCTGTGCTTTCTGCAGCTATCATTTGCCTGTGGAACGCCAGCGATTTTGCTAAACCCTGTTCCATGAAACTGAGTGGCTGATTTTCGGTTTGCATCTCCTCAGGCTGCGGAATGGTACAGAGCGACAGTGACTGGGACTCCGGCATTTCTCTACAAGAATCTGACCACGGTGTGAGGTAAGGAGCCTGCTGGTCCAATGTACAGGGAATGGGGACTGGAACAAAAGCTGCTGGGGATGCGTACCCCGACGAAGATACCTCAACAATGACCGTTCTCAGATTACGGAAGTGAATTGAATCAGGTTCATCGTCACATGTTCTCACATGAGTACGGTGAAAGTTTACAAGTTGCTACTTACGGCGCCATCTTAGGTACAGATTCTTGGGTCCCCGGCAGAAAAAGTAAGGAAAACCTACACGGCTGGGTGTGGGATCTTGCTGTGCACAGTTTTGTAGCCACGTCTCCACTCCTCATGTTCTGTGGAATACCTAAGGGGGCAGTTAACTCTGAGCATCAAATACAACACAAAGCAACCATTGACTTTGAATGATCAACTATTCATTTTAAAGACTGGGTCACCTCTCCTTTCAGTCTTCACCCAGGTCCGTTGGGGAAAGATCTCTTTACTGAACACACAGGCCCCAAGAAGACTTTCCACATCAAGCAGATGTTCACCTGCACATCTGCCAATGTGGTATACTGCATCCGCTGTACCCGGTGTGGCTTCCTCTACATCGGGGAAACCAAGCGGAGACTCGGGGACCGCTTTGCAGAACACCTATGCTCGGTTCGCAACAAACAACTGCACCTCCCAGTCGCGAACCATTTCAACTCCCCCTCCCATTCCTCAGACGACATGTCCATCCTGGGCCTCCTGCAGTGCCACAACGATGCCACCCGAAGGTTGCAGGAACAGCAACTCGTATTCCGCTTGGGAACCCTGCAGCCCAATGGTATCAATGTGGATTTCACAAGTTTCAAAATCTCCCCTCCCCCTACCGCATCCCAAAACCAGTCCAGCTCGTCCCTGCCTCCCTAACCTGTTCTTCCTCCCACCTATCCCCTCCTCCCACCTCAAGCCGCACCTCCATCTCTTACCGACCAACCTCATCCCGCCCCCTTGACCTGTCCGTCCTCCCTGGACTGACCTATCCCCTTCCTAACTCCCTACCTACACTCACCTTTACTGGCTCCATCCCCACCTCTTTGACCTGTTTGTTTCCTCTCCACCTATCCTCTCCTCTATCCCTCTTCTATCCGCCTCCCACTCTCTCCCTATTTATTTCAAAACCCCCTTCCCCTCCCCCTTTTCTGATGAAGGGTCTAGGCCCGAAACGTCAGCCTCTCTGCTCCTATGATGCTGCTTGGCCTGCTGTGTTCATCCAGCCCTGCACCTTGTTGTCTCGGATTCTCCAGCATCTGCAGTTCCTACTATCTCTGATTCAACAGTAACGTGTTGTGTTGGCCTGCCTCCTTCCTGTCGGAACCCTTTCCAGCAAAAACTCACTTCGATCGTCCTGCACCTGACAGGATGAGGCCCAGTCTCAAACAGTACCACCCAACTCTTCCCCAGCCTCAGCCCTTCCTGCAACACTCACCCACGATCCCAAACTGGATGATCCCAATCCTGCCATCTCCCATCCCTCCACAACCCTTCAGTTTATCCGCAATTGGGTTGCCTGCAGCTCATTACTGACTCCATGTCTCCATCTCCGATCACCCGTGGTTCGCAGACCTGCACCTATTCCAGTGATGACAGTGCCTCTTCCTAGTTTACAAATGTCACCATGGTCTCCCATTACTGGTTCCTCTGCCAGAGCCCCCAGCGCTAGGACTGGCTATGTAACACTCACCTCTGCGCACCTACCTCTTCCTCGACCCTACCACACCGTTTCTGCATATCACTTGTGTCATAAACTGCTCTGGTTGGCGTACAAGGTCTTTTATTTGTAACGCTCCTGCTAAACACCGGGGGAGATTGCACTAAATTGCAGGTGCTATATAAATACAATTGATGAGTGTAGTTTGACCCCGGTCCGTGTACTGGCAGCCGCGCGCGGTGTGTCTCTGTGTGTCTGTGCCTGCGCTGTGTCTGTGTGTACGTGCGGGCGCGCGCGAGCTGTCTCTGTGTGTACGTGCGCTGGTGCTCGCGAGCTGTGTCTGTGTGTACATGCGGGGCCGCATGCGTGCTGTGTCTGCGTGTGTGTGGGCACATGCGTACACTGTGTGTGCGGCCGTGCGCACGCTGTGTCTGTGAGTACGTGTGTGGGCGTGTGCGCGCTGTGTCTGTGTGTATGTGTGTAGGCATGCATGCGCACTGTGTCTATGTGTACGTGTGGGTGAACGCTGTGTCTGTGTGTATGTGTGCGGGCGCACACGCGCGCTGTGTCTGTGTACATGTGGGCAAACACGAGCGCTGTATCTGTGTGGTCATGCGGGCGAGCACGCGCACGATGTCTGTGTGTACGTGCGGGCGCTCGCTGTCTCTGTCTGTGCGGGTGCACGCGCTGTGTCTGTGTGCGGGCACGTGCGTACACTGTGTGCGCGGCCGTGCGCACTCTGTGTCTGAGTACGTGTGTGATATGTCTGTATAGGCGTGTGTGTGCACGCGCAGTGTGTCTGTATGTATGTGTATGTATGTGTGCTTTTGTGGTGTGTCCATATATACGTGTATTTGTGGGCATCAGTATGTACGTGTGTCTGTGTGCGCTTGTGCGGTGTGTCCGTATGTACGTGTGTGTGTGGGAGTCTGTATGTACGTGTGTCTGTGTGTGCTTGTGCGGTGTGTCCGTATATACGTGTGTGTGGGTGTCCGTATGTACGTGTGTGTGTGTGTGTGTGTGTGTGTGTGTGTGTGTGTGTGTTTGTGTGGTGTGTCTGTATATAGGTGTGTGTGCATGCGCGCTGTGTCTGTGTGTGTGTATGCGCGCAGTGTGTCTGTATATACGTGTGTGTACGTGCACAGTGCGTCTGTATATATGTGTGTGAATGTATGTGTTTGTGGTGTGTCTGTATATACGTATGTGCGCGTGCATGGTGTGTCTGTATAGACGTGTGTATGTGTACGTGTGTGTGTGCATATATGTGTGTGTGTATGTTTGCGGTGTGTCTTTAGATACATGTGTGTGTGGTGTGTCTGTATATGTGTGTGTCGGTACATAAGTGTGTATGTGTGTCTGAATATATACGTGTGTGTCTGTGTGTGTCTGTATATATTTGTGTACGTGTTTAGTGTGTCTGTATAGACATTTACGCGTACGTGCGGTGCATCTATATAGATGTGTGTGTGTCTGTATATATACGTGTGTGTGTGTCTGTATATATACGTGTGTGTGTGTTTAGTGTGTCTGAATAGACATAAGAACTAGGAGCAGGAGTAGGCCGTCTGGCCCTTCGAGCCTGCTCCGCCATTCAATAAGATCATGGCTGATCTTTTCGTGGACTCAGATCCACTTACCCGCGTTCTCACCGTATCCCTTAATTCCTATATTGTTCAAAAAAAATCTACCTTTTTTTAAAAAACGTTTACTGAAGTAGCGTCAACTACTTCACTGGGCAAGGAATTTCATAGATTAACAACCCTCTGGGTGAAGAAATTCCTTCTCAATTCAGTCCTAAATCTGCTCCCTCTAATCTTGACGCTATGCCCTCTTGTCCTAGCTTCACCTGCCAGTGGAAACATCCTCTCTACTTCTATCTTATCTATTCCCTTCATAATTTTATATGTTTCTATAAGATGCCCCCTCAATCTTCTGAATTCCAATGAATATAATCCCAATCTACTCAGTCTCTCCTCATAAGCCAACCCCCTCAACTCCGGAATCAACCTAGTGAACCTCCTTTGCACCCCCTCCAGTGCCAGTACATCCTTTCTCAAGTAAGGAGACCAAAACTGCATACAGTACTCCAGGTGTGGCCTCACCAGCACCTTGTACAGCTGCAACACAACTTTTAATTTCAATCCCTTTAGCAATGAAGGACAAAATTTCATTTGCCTTCCTAATTATTTGTTGTACCTGCAGACCTACCTTCTGTGATTCATGCACAAGGACACCCAGGTCCCTCTGCATAGCAGCATGCTGCAACTTTTTACCATTCAAGTAATAATCCTTTTTACTATTACACCTACCAAAATGTATGACTTCACATTTATTTACATTGTATTCCATCTGCCAGACCTTTGCCCACTCGCTCAATGTATCTATGTTCCTCTGCAAAGTTTCACAGTCCTCTGCACACTTTGCTCTGCTACTCATCTTAGTGTCATCTGCAAACTTTGACACCCTACACGTGGTCCCCAACTCCAAATCATTTATATAAATTGTAAATAATTGCGGTCCCAACACCGATCCCTGAGGCACACCACTAGTCACTGACTGCCAGCCAGAATAGCACTCATTTATCCCCACTCTTTGCTTCCTGTTAGTCAACCAATCCTCTATCCATGCTAATACTTTACCCTTAACGCCATGCATCCTTATCTTATGCAGTAGCCTCTTGTGCGGCACCTTGTTGAAGGCCTTTTGGAAATCTAGGTATACCACATCCACTGGGTCCCCATTGTCCACCTCGCTCGTAATGTCTTCATAGAATTCCAAAAGATTTGTCAAGCATGACCTGCCCTTCATGAACCCATGCTGCGTCTGCCCAATGGGACAATTTCTATCAAGATGCCTTGCTATTTCTTCCTTGATAATAGACTCAAGCATCTTCCCCACTACAGAGGTTAAGCTAACCGGTCTATAATTCCCCATCTTTTGTCTACTTCCCTTTTTAAACAGTGGCGTCACATTTGCTGTTTTCCAATCTGCTGGGACTGCCCCAGAGTCCAGCGAATTTTGGAAAATTACCGCCAGTGCACCTGCTATTTCTCCCGCCATCTCTTTTAGTACCCTGGGATGCATTCCATCAGGGCCAGGAGACTTATCAATCCTTAGCTCCATTAGCTTGCCCAACACTACCTCTTCCGTAATAATGATTGTTTCCAGGTCCTTATATACCTTTGTCTCTTTGTCAATTACTGGCATGTTAATAGTGTTATTAGTGTCCTCCACGTGTGTGCGCGTGTGCTGTGTGTCAATATAGTTGCGTGTGTGTGTCTGCGCTCAGTGTTTCTGTATGTACGTGTGTGTGTGTCTGTATGTTCATGTGTGTATGTGTGCTTGTGCGCTGTGTC